TTTCTTTATAGCGAGAACAAAAAGGATTCTCGTTATTTTTCTTTTCACTTCTGGAAACAGTCACTATGTCGAGTTCACACAGCGATGAAACTACCACATGTTTTTCACTCGTTCTTCATTTCTGTTCGCCAATATTCACTCGTTATTATGATGTCTATGTTTTTGTGTGAATGGAAAAAGAAAACTGGTCCTCGTTGTTCGAAAAAAATGTTAAAAATGAGCAAGGATAGTCCGGTCCACAAAGCGGCCAAACTTTCAGCAATTTCAGAAATTCTTCAGCAGTCGTGCATATTATGAAACTTGAGAGAACCCTGGACAGCCTCCCTCTTTCCTCGACCAAAACAAGATACCGCATTATGAGTAGAAATCTAATTCAGCCACTTTAACTTGAGGACGGAGCATAAACTGAAACTTCTTGAAATTCTGATGACTCAACAAATACTTCTGGCGTATGTCCAGAAGGCCAAAGTTCACCCTTGCTTGACTAATTCCACGCATCACTTGACCGCGGGTAGCTTCTTTATCACACTTCAAAAATAGTGCTCTTGGCACTAATATTGAAGACGTTTTCATTTCCTGGTCTCACTTAGTGGAACCAGATTTTTTTCTATAGTGCGATATCTTATGTCAGTGGAAAAGTAAAGAAGGACGTCTGGTCTGTGTAAGATATTCCAAAATACTAGGGATTCCGACCTGAATTTCTGAACACCCTTGCTTACTTTTGCAACTATCTGCCCTTTCTCCGATTCCACCAGCGGCATATTCTCTAGCACTAACTGAAAACAGATAATCGCTGGAAATGGTAGAATCGAGATGAGATTTTTTGTTGGTATGGGAAGTTGCATTTATCGTTACCACGTCTTCTCTATGCGAATATCTTCAAAATCACCTGAAATTTCTTAAACCTGATCAGAGGTGACATTATCTTTTTGGGGGATCCATCACTGTCGCCTAGTAATGAAACAACAAAAAACCTTGTTTTGGCTTTTTCAGATCATGCAAAATTTTCTCCAAGTTTGTCTTGTTTCTGGAGATGACTAATTCAGAGGAGCGACTGACGCCATCTCAGTTGAACGCATCGCTGACGTTTGCGCGAGGAGCGGTGCAAGCCTCGCTATCACGTGCTGCCGTTGATTGGATGGTAAACACAATAGATCTCAGCAAAACATTCGAACAGCTTGATCGCCAAGTATGTTTATCCGGATGTGGTACAATTACAGCCCTCTTTGCTTTGACCAATGGAAATAAGAGCTACTGACCTAGTATTCAACTGAGCCAGGAACCTATCTTTCTCTGCAATGACTGTTTGCACGGATGGTTTCATTTGTGACTTCGTGATAGTGACAGAAGTAGGATCATCTGTTTAGGTTGTCGGTGTTGATGAGGTTCTCATTCCGTCGCTGCAAGTGAGCGATAGTCTCAATATGCCCGGAAGATTCACTGGGGATTGTGTGAAAAATGGAAAAATGACTGGTTTCATAACAAGGTCAGTTTATATGCTGACGACATAATGGATGTATGTTGCTGAAACCTAATGCGTGTTACGAATAACTAGGCGTAAGGCAAAAGTGAGGGACAAAACTGAAGCTTTTTGGAAGCACAATTCCTAATTAGAGATACAAGCTATGAATTCAGTATGAGAAGCAAATACTTGAGAATTTCTCACACCTTGATTCTGAGTTTTAGCTGCCTTTCAGATTTCTTTCTCCCTTTGTTTATCGTTTTCTTCTTCTTTTTCTTCACTAGGGAATTAACCCTCGTTTGTGAGGTTCGCTAAGTACGACTCGCAACCGCGAAACGTGCGTTCAAATATGGTCGTAGTAGATGGCAGGTACGGAGGAATCTCATTTACAGTGCGGACTCCAGTTCAGTATGGTGTCTGAAAGCAATAGGACTACCTGTTCCCTCTGTATATTCATTTAGTACCACTACAAGGACGCATGCATGTTTGTTCTCTATATTACCATAGGATTTCCAGCAACTCTAGACCCAGGTGGATGATAATAATGCAGTAAACATATTACTACTCGTAACAGTGCAACATGAAAAATAAACATATTGCTATTAGTAGTACATCAAAAACTCTGGAAGGAAGGTCGCAAGTTTCACTGCTCTCTCTTCCTGGAATAGTTTGGGAATTAAAACCCTTCTGTTATTGCACTTCTAGATATTGAAAAGCACACGAATGCGTTCCGCATCAGTAAATCTGGTGCGCAGATCGTGAATACCGGATGCTGAACAGGTATCAATTAGATCCGGATGTTATACACGAACAGCATCTGGCGAGTGAGATTTACAGCACGTCTCTCAAGGAGTTCTCTTATGAACGTAGGCGTCTTCAAGGATTGATACCCTGCCGTTGTTGGCTGTGAACACTGTGCCTTCACAATGTCGCGACGTTGACTCTGTTGCCTTTACTCTTCTTGCAGACTTCAGCTGGAGGGGACTCCAGCTCAGACTCAGATGTGGAACGACCATCTCAGAAACCGCGATCGTTGTCTAGCATCAACGTGTCAGAAAGTCTCGGAACTAGCTCTTGCGGTATCATCATCCGCTGGTGGAGATTTGCCGAAAATCACCTCCAAGTACATGGGGTCCCGCGTTCAAGGCAGAGCGGGCTAGACAATTGTGATAGTACACGATCACAGGAACCTGCGCAGAAAAAAAAAACACGACCATTTAAAGAAAAAGCGGACAAGGACCAGCGAGAAAAGATTGGGAAGATAAAGCAGAAGAAAAACTCCACTGCTGCCAAACAGCTACCCGCGATTTCTGCGATTCTGTAGAATAATTGCTTAGAATACTTTCCGCGAAAGGCGGGAAACTTTGCTTGTATGCGTAAGGTGTGGAAGCGTTCATATGGCTATCTGCATAAGGTTTACAACATTCGCCACTTCCACTTACTTCTCCACTTGTAGGTCTATTCGCACTTGCAAAGTCGTTTCGAACCAACCCCACTT